AGAGTCATAATCATCATTATCATCATAATAAGAAAAGAATCCAAAATGCAAAAACACACCAAAACATAACTCAAAACACTGGGTCAAACTGACCCAGAACCGTGACAAGATTCTTGACATGAGCTACATCTCTCACTGTAAAGTAAAAGTCTGATGTCCAACACCTGGGAGTTAGGACCAGTAGAAGCCATCTTGTAAAATTTTCTGTCTCTGGTCTCATGTCTGCACTGCCTGAACATGAAGGCTGTCTATTTGACATTTTGTAAAGCTAAAGTAAATTAAAGCATATAAGAAAAAAAAAAAAAAAAAAAAAAAAAATCACAGTTTGGTGTCTCGCTTTCCTTTTTCCTCTATTTCCACTTTCTATTTTCTATGCCAAATATTATTTAATCCTGGAAAGAATCCTCATAAAGACTGCCCTTTAGCAGTGGACACAGAGAAAGGACAAAGAGATATTGTCACAAAGTAAAACACCTTACTATTTATTCCTTTACCTATGCTAATGATGTTATATAGAAAGGTTTGGGGCCATTAGAAATAGGTCCATAGGTTTTTGGACAGTCACACATCCTGTGGCTCTGCAAACCTCCACAGTGTATTTAAATCAAACAGCCACAGTCTGATTGAATTGTGGACTTTCATCTTTTATTCAAAAGGTTCAACAAAGTACATATATAGGATTAACTGTTATTGAATTTATGTTCTTATACATGGTCTTCCATTTTAAGAGGCTTAAAAGTAAGAGTACAATTGACTGAAAAGCAGTTTAATTGCCAGGTTAGGGCTGTTTCCTCATTATTTCATGACAAATTAAGCAGATAAAGATGGAAAGCAGATATAATCAATTCCAAGTGTTGGACTTGTATTTGAGCTGATCAGTGGTGATGTTAGTAGATTAAACAGAGGGCACCATTAGACTAAAAAAACAAATAGCACAAGCTTAAGGAGTAGTAAAACCAACAATCTGGTACATTTTAAAATAGAAAGAATACACTAGACAGCTCAGCAACACCAAAAGACTTAGAAGACCACAAAAGATATCTGAAGTGGAAAATGGCAATTGTTTTTCCTTGGGAACATCCCTTTCACAGCATCTAACCATGTCAAGACAACTTTCTTGACATGGTTGGAGCATCTGTGCCAAGTTCTACCATTAAGAGTCACCTTTGTGAATGTAAATACTGAGGTTTACAACAAAGTGCAAACTCCTGG